GGTAGGAAGGGGAAGAGGAAGAGTAGGAGTAGGAGAAAGGGAAGGGAAGAAGGAAGGGGAAGGAGAGGAGGAAGGAAGGGAGAGGAAGAGAATGAGAGGGTAGGAAGGGGAAGAGGAAGAGTAGGAGTAGGAGAAAGGGAAGGGAAGAAGGAAGGGGAAGGAGAGGAGGAAGGAAGGGAGAGGAAGAGAATGAGAGGGTAGGAAGGGGAAGAGGAAGAGTAGGAGTAGGGGAGAGGTAAAGGAAGAAGGAAGGGGAAGGAGTAGAGGAAGGAAGTAGAGAAAGAAGGGAAGGAGAAAAGAAAAGGAAAATTAGGTGGTGTAACAGCACGAGGAAGGGACAGCAAATAAAGCAACCCAAACTATATATTATAACCTATTAAATGAAACAATACATGGTAAAGAAGAATAACAATGATGTGAATCTATATTTAAAATGGTATGTAAGAGAATAAAAAAATGGGGGTGGGGAGAAGCTTCCGAGGCAGATAAGATCTCGTTGAGGTTCGTCAAGAAGAAAGCCGGTGGTCCTGGGATGCAAATGACATGAAATAAAACAAAACCTTGAAGTCTCTCTGAGGTCCCTGAAGTCAAAGGAAACTTAATCTTATTCTTGTGGAGGGAAATAACCAGTCATTTTCTCACCACTCTTCAAGGAGCTAAGCAGGTTGCGGTCGAACGCTCTCTTTTTATAAAGAGCTGCACACACAAAGGCACACCACATCTAAAGCTTTGTTGTGTGAAAACTGGAACCCGTTTTTTTTCTTTCTAGAAGCGCCGAAGAGCGTGACAGAACAAGGAGGGAAATGGAAAGTTAGCGTAATATCAGCCTTTAAGCCTCATTTCTATGGCTTTTCAGAAATAAAACCCGAGCTAATCATGGTTTCTTTTTCACTAGCTTTGCTTCATAATAATGAAGCTGTCTGTGAAAAGTTTGGGTTCTTTTGAAGGGGAGGAAGGGGGTGTTATTTTTGCCGCCCGTTTTCACCATCTGATTTTACCTCAGGCCCTTCCCGAACATGAAGATTACGAATCGTGAAAAAGTGTTTCCTGAAGTAAAAGTAGATCTGGTGGTTTCTTGGTATGGTTTCACTTGATTCTTTTCAACTAACTACCTTCGAACGGAATCCGAGTTTGGCAAAATTAGCCCGATGGTTCGACCGCAGAAAAGCAAAAGAGAGTTGTTGTTTTTTTT